AACAACACAGAAGCACACACACACACACACAATATATTTGTAAGCGTTTCCACGGCAAAAATGGAGCCGTGCCATTGCAGCAGATGATAGACAGAAGGGGAAATCACCTATATGCAGAGAAAAGGCAGTGTTGCTGTTGTAAGATCTGTAGTTATCTGACAAACTCATGGACGCAGCACTTTGTGACCACATAAGCAGATATAATGTAAATGGATACATCCTCTTAATTATTACAAATATTTCTGTCAGTGTTGTGGAAGTTGAGATGGTGCGTTTCATGGCAGATTATGACTTTCCAATGAATCCATCATCATTCAAGATCTGTTAGCATCTATATGTCTGCTTTTCTTTTAGTATAGTCAACATCCATAGATGATAAAATACATCTTTCATTTATCTCTCCAAATCATTTATTCATCATCGCTCCAAACGGCTTTTACATTCTTCAATTTGCCTGATTATTCACTCACTCTTTTTCTTTATTTATTCTGCAGTGATTGTCTATGAAGTGGCCCAGTTCATCTGGCAGCCTGGAGTGACTCTTTTTTTCTGCATGTCATTTCTCAGGCTTTTTTAAAATGTGCTTCCCTAAAGAACTATTTCACAAGTGCCTTCATATTTTCCCTTCTTATGCTGAATGTGTAGAGAGGGGAGAGTAATTTTAAGGGCCAGTAGTAAAATATCGTTGTTATTCTTACCAAGCTAATATGGATTTAGACAAAGTGCACAATAGCAGGAATGTTGCTAATACAGCTTCATGATGTTTTCCAGGAAAGCTGGAGTGGTACACAGTAGTTACACTCAGCATTAGCTCAGGTCCATTAGCACATTATTTGCTTTTGTTACCACAAAAGTACTTTCTCATGCAGTTTGTAGTTGTTGCCAACAGAAGGCAGAGCAGTGCTGATATTCCCCAGCTACGTTTCCAGCTTTTGCAAATTTTAATTTGTGACCTTGTGCTTATAATCCTACTGATGAAGCAAATTGGTAATTCAGGGCGTCATTATTGCCAACCCTAAACTGTGTTTCTTCTTGGCGGACTGTATGTGCGCTTACCCTCTTATTTTCTGTCTATCGATTGCAACAACTTCAGTCTTCTACCTCTGCTGGGGTATGTTCAGGAGGATCTGTGCCCTGCATTTAGCCTCTTTGACCCAGAATGCATCCTCAGCTTCCTGCTGAGTTTCTCCCCACTGTTCCACTGAGCTGATATCGGGTGCTGAGCTAATGCCAAATTGAAGCTCTCAGAGTCAATAAGACAGTACAGTGGAGACCTGAAGGTAAAATGCTCAAACCCACTGCTGGAGGAGAGGAGAAACACATCGGTATCTCTGGACACATGTCTATCTTTTGTATTTGTCTGGCTTTTTGAGTGCCCTGAATCTCTCACTGACTTAATATCTTTCCAACTTCCTGTCCAGACTAAAGAGGACCTTCAGCACAGACATTGAGTGAATGTGTATTCTTGTATGTATTGATGTGAGTGCTCCAGCACATGAATCTTCTTCAGTATGCAGAAGAATAAACCCTAGTGGGGATTTTCAATAATGCAGTCCTCAAACACTGGAGCGCATCAACCATTTATTATACTGCTGCTATTGTCCTACATATTTCTTCATTAAACAGTCCACACAACACCAATTCTCTCCCAAACTCATTAATATGGCTTTTCTTCTAATCATTGGTTTGCTATTTGCCTCCCAGTCTTAATCAAAATCGTCCCCACACTGCAATAAATAAAAAAAATAAAAAAATCACAACAAGCACTTACCATCAAAATAATTGCCTGCATACATTTGTTCTGCCTCCCTGAATTTCATATTGTTTTCCACTGACGGTCATGCAGCCTGATGCTGAAGACTGCTTTCGCCTTTTGAGGCCATACGCTCATTCAGAGACACCCAGTTTGCTCTCGGGACAAAGCAGGAAGGGGAGGGAGTAGTTTAGAAATGCAAGCTGCGTCTACGTGAACAAACTAATTAAGACATTTTCTCTACCCACTAAACAATCAACAACAGGATTTAACCATTGATCTCCCCCTGGCCACCAAGTGCATGCAACGCAAATGTGCAAGCCAAGCATTTACTTGTAATGAAAGCAGAGGCTGCATGAGATTTGCATGTTATTGTGGGCATTATGTAATGTGCGTTTGTAAATGAATATCTTAGTGAAGGATTCCTGGGCAAAGTGCCACAGAGGAGCCAATTAAACTCTTATGCAGCGTCTTGAACTTGGTGATGTCGCACTGCAAATTGATGCGTTGTTTTGTGCAGAACATGCCCATCATGTGTGAGAATGGTGGAGCCTTCTGGATGGTGTTTAGGGTCAGCTATTGTGACAGTGATAAACACTGAGTATTTTTTTTTTTTTATCTCCTTACACAATGGCTTTTGAGAGTGTGAGGGCTGCTCGTGTCCCTTTGGAATTAATGGCATCACCTTGTGTCACCACACACAAGAATCTGGACTTTATTTGTGGCTGAGCCATTGTTTACTTAGTTCATCTCTTCTGTTTACGTTTGCAGGTGAGAGCCATGAAAAAACTGTGGCTGTAGCTGCATGGCCTGCTGTGGAGCACAATACATGTCAACAAATACAAGAAAATACATAAATTACACATTAGTTAATAAAGGGTTCTCTGCCTTCATTTATTTACAAATACAATTGATGGAAATCAGTAGAACAAAAGTCAACAAAGCAAATCTGTCTTTTTAAAATGTTCTCCCTCTCTCTCTTTAATTGCTTCCTCACATTTGGTAGAAGCTCCTTTCATACATGGAATTTTCTAGTGGGGCTTTATGTGAGAATGCAAATATCCAGGTGACGCAAATGTCCAGGTCAGTTGCCGGGACATGTTCCATAACTTGTACTGTCTGCATGGAAAATGTCCCAGTGAGCCCATGTGAGAATATATGGGATGAATGCATAAACTGGACTGGAAAAAAATATATCAGAATAAAAAAGGGGATGCCATACATGTTGCAGATGCTGACAAAAAACTGGAAATACATCAAGAGTCGAGAGCTTTATTTATTTATGGACAACACCAGTGTCAATGTTCTGTAAACCAAGTTATGTGTCATGTCCTGCCTCCTGCATGATCTCCCTTCTCACCACCACTCGCCTGAATATCTTGCTGTGTTCTTCGTGTGAGAACAGCAAATTCCGTGTCCGGATCCAATTTTCTGGACATTTCCTGAGTTCATGTCTGGAAACAGCTTATGCAGAAGTGAAAACTACAGCAGGTAGAGTCTGCGGTTCAATCCCAAGTTCCTCTTTGCTTACTGTCCTTGGGCAAGAACCCCAAATTGTTTGTGAATGGGATTTATGAGTGTACTGAAGTGCAAAGCTATATATATTGTGTGTGTGTGTGAATGCAACTCCTACTGTAAAGTGCTTTGAGTGGTCATTAAGACACTATATAAATGCAGTCCCTCTGGTCTGAGTACATAAGCTGCACGATTATCAAATTCAAGGTCTTTCCAATGAATTTTTTATTGCTTACTGAGATTTGTAGACTTGGGAAGTCAATAAAAATGAGAGATTGTGACATCATTTCTACTGACTGTCAAAATATTGTGATTGAAATATCACGTTCAAATCATGTTGCTGTATGTCGCCATGGGCCATGTGTTGCATTCAAAATTGATTTAAAAAGGCACATTTGCACCTTCTTCCAATATGTGTTTCATGGTGACTTTGCATCTGCTTGTTGTTAAATGTGGCCATATGTGTTTTGGATGCCTTTACACCTGAATTCAATATATTTTGGCCCCAATTAAATCCACCAGGATTAAGGTGAGTGCCTGTGAGATGTACATATATCTTGCTTAACCAGGGTTGAGATGTCCTGCTGGCATTTTTGTAATAATAACTGCTTTGCTTTGTCTGCCGGTTTGGCCATTGCCCTACTTTGCCAGAAGCATCCCATTGTGTAAACAATTTGAATTTGAGACGCGGCCTCCTTCTCGCCGAGCGATATCCCTCCTGCGGTGAGAGGCAGGATTAATTTCTCTCCCCGACTCCCACCGCACATGCAGAAAGATAGGGGAGAGGGAGAGGTGAGGTTGGGGTATGGAAGGGGGGTTATGGAGGCAATACAACCGCAACCTATTATCCAAGGAGTATCATTTTATCAGGCCTTTGTGGGACAATCTTATATTCGGCTGTTTCTGTACCGTGTTGGCGGGGTGCCTTGTGTATGATTATTTGTGTCATCGGTTTCCGCCCTATGTCAGTAATCTGTTTGTTGGGAGATAGAGGACACACGCCCGGTAAATAATGCAAATCTGCCACTGTCTCCCTCTTTCTCCGTCTCTCTCCTTCTCACTCCAATAAAATTGTGCATTAAGTATTCTCTCAACTCCTGCACAACAACAATCTGAATCAGCCTCTGTAACCAATCATTCAACAGACTCTGGGTGTGTGTGTGTCCGTGTGTATGTCCATGTGTGTAGCGAAAGTAATTGATTCCCCCCAAAAGTCTGACAACCATTGGCTCAACAAGGTGATGCATATTATGAAGGTCTCGATACATGACTTTTTGTCCAACCTCTGTGATGAAATATAGAATTGTAATGGTGGTGGAGAATAATTGATTCTGTCTGCTCACTGTGTGGGAAAAGGAAGTTGAGATAACATGAGAATGGGATGGGATCAGAGGTTGTAATCATTGCAATCAGCTTTCTCCCAACAGCCTTACGGCAACAACCAACATCAGGTGTAGGTTTCTCTCAAGATCAACTCTTCCCCTTAGAGGATTAAGTGCCCATCCAATCTAGTCCCTATAAGCATGTCAATGATTTTGACTTAAATGTGCAGTGTCTGGCCATGTCAGTTTTTAATTATACAATGACAGCGGGGGAAAGATGGCAATTTAAAAACACATCAGGTGCCTGGCAGCTTAATTGCTGAATTAGGTGCATCCTCCGGGCACAGTAAGTACCAAGGAAGCCCTGTGTGTATCTGTACTGAATGTGTGCTCTGTCTCTTCTCCACAGAGATCCTTACTGGGGGGGTGTACGTCGACAAGAACAAGTTCCTGTGTCACGCAGACACAATCCACTGGCAAGACATTGTCAAAAACCCACGGACCCACCCCGTGGTGGTGCCCACCAACAGCAGCGTCACATGTAAGTAAACAATCAAGAAAAGGGACGATTTGATTTGACTTGAACTGTTATTCATTGGGAAATTTTACTGAAGCATTAATGTTGCTCCACACTCACTCACAGTTGCACTTAGTGAGGCCTGGATACTGAACAGTACCACCGAAGTGTAATCTGCTCGACAATGAACAGCAACACTTAAGGAAATGGAATTTAAAAGGCGGCTGCACTGATTTAGCAGTGCACATTGTTGGGCTCATAAAGGACAGTTTGAAAGTATAAAAATCGATGAAGCAGCAGTGGCTGGTGTAGCCTTGAGCTGTTTTTCTCAAGCAGAGATGAGGAGTGGGATCCAGAGGTCCAGTGAGGTCACTTCTCTCAAAATGTAAAGTCCCATTCACATATGCAGTGGTACAGTGCACTGTAGACCATAGGTTGACCTGTAAACAGTCCTGGTACCCTTTAATTGACCTGCTCACTAACATCTCAGCGGGGGTGGTGAGGTAAGCAGGTACTGCTCCTCCACTTTGTCCACTCAGATGTATTCTGCCAGTCAGAGGATTAAACCAATGACCCTAGTTGAACCAAAAACCTTGAACATCTCATGATGTCAAAAAAAAAAAAAAAGGTAGTGCTGCCTCCTCTCACGATTCTTCTGCATGGCACTCAGGATAGTAGAAACTCAGGATAAGCCCATGTGAGAATACAGCAGGAGATTATCTGGAGGATTTATCTTGAGTTAGTAGGCGCCTTGTTGACGTTAGTTGCACAGGGACCCAAAACAAAAATGTTAATTCCTGTCTTTGTCTGATGTGTATTAACATGTGTTAAATTTTACCTACCTCCTTTGTTTGTTTTGTCCCTGTAATACCCAGTCTTCTCAGCTGGGTCATCTGTTCAGTCATGTTCAGTTTACCTGTTGTCTACTTCCTGATTGTATTGTATTGTATTGTATAATTCCCCATTGTTTCCCTTTGGATCTGCCACTGAATTTCTCATAGAAGTTATGTTTTCAGTTTTTCTACTGGCCTGCTTGCCAATCCATCGTCACACCTGACCTTCACTTCCAATGCCTGCTTGACTGGAAGTTTTCTAGCTACTTTTTTACGTTTAGGTCACTTTGAGCTCCAATCATTTTTTCCTCCCCTAACACAGCTGGTGTTTTTCACCAATGTCTTAAAGGGAGGCTAAATGTAAAATATGGTTTAACAGAGCACTGCATCTTAACCTGATTCATTCACAATAAGTGATCAAGTATGAGCAGCAAAACATTGTCATCATACATTTACCCCTTGACCCCATTCTGTCATTCTCCTTGCCACAACAATTCATAATTAATGCTTATGCACATCAAATTATGCCCCTCTGAAGCCAGACAGACGACATGTCAAAGAGGCTGTGGGGATTTGTTTGGGTGAAATGAACATACTTAATCTATCAGAGGATATACTGTATGTTATGATGGTGGATGTGGTTGTCAGTGAGGTGCATTAAGTCACTTCTTCTGACCTTGTTTGTTCAAGCTGTTGGTTAATCTGTTGTTTTTCATCTGCATTTCTTTAAGCTGTCTAGTCACATTCAGGGGCTTCAGGTGCAGATTAACAACTCAAAGCACCGATATGCCGCTCAATCCCCCCCACTGCATATCTGTTTGGCCCGGATAGACCCTGACTCCCATGAAAGTCCTTTACTCCTCTGAAAGAAGGGTCTCCAAACATGTGATACCCAATGGAGAACATAATCTAAAATGTATTCTTTGGGGAGACACAAGCTTTACTTAGTTATTACTTATTTATGGCTCAATTGTGTTTCTGGTCTGCATGCCCTAGTGATTTAGGCTACATCCACAAGTTTTGGTTTTAAAACATATCAAGTCTACATCGTCTACATTGTCACTGAAAAAGAGAAGTTGACCACACTGCTGACCACATTTCAGTTTGAAACCGGGGCAGCATTTTGCTCTGGACTAGCAGAAACTGAGATGATTGGAAACAATGACGTAGACACAGAACTGTTTGCTAATTGGGTCTTTGCCATCACAATGTAGCCTCCGCTGATTCGTCAACCCCCTGTCTGGAAGAAAAGAACTTGCATTAGCCTCAGCTATGTGTTTAGAAACACAACATGGATCATCAATTGTAACCCTGGCTGATTCTTGTTGCTAAAAGCTTTAAATCAGTTAAATGCATGTTTCACACACAATTGCTTACATAAGTAGGAGATGAGCTTTCGAGCAACAATTCTCATGTTCAGTGAGATGTGCATGCTTTCCTGTTTACACTGGCACGTACATGCCCAGTGTACGAGTGGTCACAAATGGTATGCGTTTTAAGGTGTCAGTATGAATGGAAACTGATACGGAGCTAAATCGCTCATGTGGACAGAAATTAATTTCCAACTTAAACGTAGTAGTAGGCATCTTCTCTCTTCTGCCCAGCCCTGGTCAGGCAGCATACTTTTAACCTTCAGGGTCTGTTTTTAAGAAAGCTGTAAAAGATTATGGTGCAGGAAGAGGGGTAGGACAGGTTTATTCTAGGTCTCTGAGAATTTATAAGTTGAGATAGTGAAGACCTTGGACACTAAATGAAAACTCTTAGGCTTGACTTCACAGGGCACCGAGCACAGAGGAGAACAGAGATGTAACTGTAAGAGTAGCAACGGTTCTCTGCACTTGGCAGTGTCAGGCAACCACTTATGGCTCGCTGACATTTGTATTGCTCTCCTGTTTGTGCTGCTTTTCATAAAGTCAGGGCTGTCGACCCCTCTCTTTCTCAAGCACTATAGTTCGAGGGGAGCGAAGTCGAGAAACGGCGAAACAATGAGGACAGACTGGAAAAAGACAAAAAGAAAAAGAGACAAGGGCAAACGTTAAGTGAAAGAGAACCGCAGAGGAGTGATGAATCAGCGAGTGGTGGATTGAGAATGAAAGAGATGAAATGTGGGGTGGTGGAGAGGGGCGCAGACGAGGAAGGAGAGCAGGGCAGAGGATGGAGAGGCTCATGTTTGGGAATAGAGTCGGTCTCAATGCTAATAGCTCTCATCTGGAGAGGCTGATGGACAGAGGACAACACTTGTCCTGCACTTACCCGAGCTCACTTCCCCCGCAGTCAATTACTAGACAGTCAATTAAGTCCTCCAAAAAACCCCAGAAAGGCACCGACTGAAGCGCTGAGGGTTTGATGCTGCACTTTGCCTCTTTGCTGCTTTTATCTCAAACTGATATGCACTGGTTTCATGCTGCACTGATTCAGACTAGAGGGCCAAAAAAACTGGGCAATGTTCATGGTGAATAATTACAAGACATATGTAAATACAAGGGTAGGGAAGTTATTTATTTTAGAACTGTTAATGAAAACATTTACCATTAGGAAATTGTATCATTTACTACACACCAAGTATGCCAAGTATTAAAGTGCCAACATTTCTTAATAATCATAATAATTATCATGAAACACTTACAAAGTCCTTGGGATCTTGAAGCAACTTTAGTCATGTTTCAAGGCAACTACACTTAAGAGCCCCCCCCCACACACACACACACGCACACACATTACGTTTATTTAAAGCTAAGCCAAATTAAAACCTACATCTTTGCTCACTATTTGGATCACTTGGAGTTTTCAGTGAAGGGCTTGAAGTCATACACTCCAGCTCAGGTTTTTCAGTTTTAACTATAATGAAATTAAATTATTCCTATTCTATGGATGAGGTAACCATTTGAAATGCAAATCATCTCTGTCCTTGAATTTGTGTGCAGGTCAAAAGTGCCATCGTTCCTGTAATGGTCGTTGCTGGGGACCCAAGGAGGACCAGTGTCAGAGCTGTAAGTACATTACTCTGATTAGCTGATGACACATGGCATGGCCTTCCAGTGGCTTTCTTGAAATGGCATCTAGTCCAGTTTAGAATTAATTTTATATATTCCTTTAGCAAATTTCTTAACAGAGCATAAAAACACATTTGAAATCGATACAGGTATTTTTCATAAAGAAATAGTCACAATCATGGAATTTACATGTGTCAAAGCTTCGAATCAGGTAACAGTAAATTCTGCAGATGACCAATTAAATTTGACATGCAGGAAGGAATGTAGCCATCAATTTTGTCCAAGTTGTCAAACCTTATTTAGCAGCCTGCAAAATAAATTGTACAAATGAATAAATAGAAAGTTATGTTTAACATCCAAACTCGATTTTTTTTTCACAAATTCATCTGCCTTTTATAAGAAACAATGTTCACTGCTAAAAGCTTCTATTTTTAAATCTTTTGATTCGAATCACAACCAGGGATGGTCTTTTTTTTTAAATTTACTTTTCATGTCCATGGTTTATTCCTAAAAATTGTCAGTTTATTAATTATTATAACTACTATTATTTTTAAATTGTTAAAACTTTGAAAAAATGAGCTATACTCTCACTATATATATAATACAATTAAGTCATGGATTTATGAACAAGAACAAAATGCCAATCTTACATTTATCCAAACAAAAATAGTCTACATTAAATGCAGATCCATGTTTTTACAAATTAAATGTAGAAGTCCCCCACCTTCTGACTTAAGGTCTAAGTAAACTTCTGTTAATAACACTGCTTGAGGTGGATCCGTGACAGACCAGTAATTGGGTCTCTGCGTTTTCAGCCTTTGATAAGTAAACTGAGCTAAAAACACAAGAAAACCATGGTGTTCTTTTATCTTTAAATTTTCATGTCATCAGACTTCTGCCAGAAATGTATAAATCTGTTGTCACAGATGCTAACCCTCTGTTTATACAGATACACTGTACATCCATCTATTGTTTTAATCAACTCCTCCATCTGTGTGGATCTATTGCCACCCCTAAGCATGTGGGCTTGGTCTTCACTCCAATCACGCTATGCTTTTCTTGTAAATAAAGCATTTACATATTCATGCAAACAGCAGGACCATCATATACTTTTCCTCTTCCCATTAAATATCTATGATTCCCTACAATCCCTGCAGTCCCTCTGTGCAAACTCTGGCATGTCTCATCTTATTTATTCTGTGGTTGTGATCCATTTAGATTATAAGGAATGAACTGTTTGAGCGAGGCCTGTTAACAACATGTCACAGACCAGTCGCCGATAAGCCTGGGCCTTGTCTGTCTCCTTCTCTTTTCAGCTGTTGTCATGCTATATCTCCATCTGCATCCATACATCGGGGTCATGATTCATCCTTTTTGCTATTGCAACTTTTAATTTTATTGTGCGGAAACATATTGAGTGAATAAGTGGAAATATGTCCAATGAAAATGGATTTCAGAGATACTTTTGTGACATATCCATATTCACCTGTCTCAAAACCAACAATAAGAAGCAGCGTTTTGTGTCAGCAGCTCAGGGGAAAAGTGAATGCATTCAAAAAGTAAATGACACCTGAACCTTTCCCCCTTGAAGTAGATGATGAAGAAAAGTTCTGTGAAGTCTGAGGCTGCTGTTGATTATATAACCACAGACTAGTACACATCACTGCACAGATCACGATCTGTTCTTTCACACTCTGATGCTTCTTTAGTTATTTTAGATCTTCCTTTAAAAATATAGGACATAAATCAAAATGTCAGTATAGTGTAGCAATATGGTTTATGTTTAGCTGAATACTTTCCATAAACACAACACAGGGAAAACGATCTTAGCTTGAACATCCTTCATTGTTATAAAATGTACAAACAAAAAACTTGAAGTGGAAGATCCTTGTCAGAGCACAGGTGAACCTAAAGGGTGAATCTCCCCAACACAAACTATCTTACAACTTAGTTACAGTTAATATAAGTTAGTAGTTATAATTATTCTTTGATTGGTTGGTTTGTGTGGGAAAGTGTCAGCTGTAGACAAGGCTGATGTTGCAAGAACATAATACAGAAAAACAGAAAATGTCATACCCAAACTATTAATTTCATCTTGCCTAAAAACAAAGGAAAGCAAATCGCTTTTCAATAAATTCTACTTTAATCGCATGTTTAAGGAGAAAAAATAAACAGATTTGATCAAATAGATTTTTAATCTCCATAAAATATTTGATGCTACTTTGGGGCCGCAGATGAAAGTTAGGAGCATATCATCATATAATCGCATTTCAGTTCATTTGGTGAACATGGTGGCTGCTAACTTGTATTCAACAAATCTAGAGGATAAGGAATAACATCAGGGTTTATTTGGGGTCGTGTTTCTAGCCATGCATATACAAGCTCAATATTCATTGTCCACTATAGTACAACTCCTCAACAAACTGATCTACAACAACTAATCTGAGCTGATCAAAGCTCCACTGGTTTTACCAGCAACTCTAGATACTATCAAAAAAAATACTGACTTATAACTTCCCTAATATTTTGGGCAGAAAATGTGAACATAGTTGACTTTATTTGCGTCTCAATTTCATAAAAGGTAAAAGTAGCATTGTTAAAACAGAATGTAGTTTGTATGAACATAAATATTTATTTAAGTTGAAAGTAAAGCAAATGTTACAAAGAACTTCAGTAAAGCAAAAACTCAGGGTCAAACTGTATTTCCTATTGGACCTCCTTGTCTGTACTGTCTTGTATTGAAAGAAAGTGCTGAGGAGAAGCAGATCTTAAAAGATGGCAAAGGGAATAGCCAGTGAGTTTGAAATACAATGTATTTATCTGTTAGCAGAAGTACAAGAGGAGGAATGTATAGTCTCAAACATCCGACTATGACCAAATGGAAGATAAGAGAGCGTCTATTTGCATTTTATTCTTCAGCTAATCAATAATTGTTTTGACAATCTTTTTTGTTGCCATAAGAAGGTCTGTGACTGTGCTTTTCACTAAAAGCTTTTTATATTTGTGTAGATTATACAGAACATGTAATTGTAAAACTATATATAAGTATTTCCATTGCAAAAATTCCAACATTATCCAAGAAATAGTTTTGGAAGCCAGATGTAAAAAGAAAGTACATTTTAACTCATGTAAATTGGAACTGAGAGGCAGAGGTTCCTGTGACTGATGCTGCTGTCCACAGCCTGTTCAAATGGAAGCTTCCAGGCATATTTTCTCAGATGGATTTCCTTTGTATTTGTCATCACCAGCAGTTTCTTTTTTTCTTTTCTTTTTCTTAAAGTGGAAGTTTAAAGCCAAATTGATCAACAGCATTGCGTCTCTCTCTTGGCAAGGTCATTTCTTTGACAAAGTGTCGCGAGCAAAGGCGGCCGTTTCATTTTAGCCCAGGCACCGTTAATGGAATGCCACTGATTGTATGTTAGGCGTCGGGTGAAGTGTGCATGTGTATTTGCATGTGCGCTTGGTGGGTTGTCTGTGGCTTGTATCCATCACATTGATAGTATCTCGTCACTACAAAGCCCCAAAGGGAATCGCGGCTCACATCAAAACACTCTGTGTGTGTGCATACACTAACACAGATACATGCACGTTCACACACAGCGTTGGGTTTGTAATATTGTATTCTAACCCTATTACTTTTCCTAGAAATTATTATTTTGACACCTTTGTGTTTCAGATTCACGTCTACCTTTATCAACAGATCTGATTTAAAAAATTAGGTGGAATACCCAGTAACTATGTGTCATATTTTTATAGCTATGTTTTTGTATTCCTTCATTGTTTGTTGTTGTTTTTCACAAATCAACTTTAATTGAAAATGCCATCAGATTGCCATGAACTTTTTCATTAACTCAATTTTGAACACTCAAGGGAGCAAGTAAATTGGATTTAAGCGCATGTTGTTTTGAGATATTTAACCTCACAGCAACAAAATTCTTCGGTCGGAATCCCGGCTCCGTCAGGGGCCTTTACATGAGGAGTCTGAATGTTCTCCCTGTTTAGCGTAGATTTACTCTGGGTACTCCGTCTTCCTCCAACACTCCAAAGACATGCAGATTGGGTTAGGTTGATTCATGACTCTAAATTGTCTGTAGGTGTTAATGTGTGTGTGAATGGTAGTTTCTCTCTGCATGTTGGTCCTGCGTTATGCTGGTGACTCGCCAGGATGTAAACTGGCTTTTCCCAATGTCAGCTGCAATTTATCAAGCTTCCTTTCAAAGGACAAGCGGATTTCTTGAGAAAAGGGAAACGGTCTTGATCTTGCTTTTTCGAGAAAGATGGGGTTTTGGACTTGTAACGTAAATCTAAATATAAAATGTATAGCATGTAATAACATTATTTCAAATGAACTGCAGTTCCTGAAATGGTGTTGGCTATTGTTTAACTGGATTGATATCCCCAACAGCAAGTTGCTGTAGACAAACAACTAATACTTACAGTATTTTTGTCTATTGGTACTGTAGCATATACCTGTGCACAGGACTTAAGACTATGCTATTGCTTCCTCTTACATATGCACAACATATTTTGCAAGTTTGTTCCCTCCCTGGCTCGTTATTCAACTGTGGTAATTTCACTGCTTTATCCATCCCCAACACATTTTTAATTTAGTTTTGCCAATCCATCATATACAACCCACTGCCGACACTTCCCATACCCTCCCATCCACTTTAGCCGCATCTCTTGCCAGCTGTCTTTCTCAGTGAAATGGCAGACTCCATGCGTGCATTTACATATACGGGTGTCGAGGAGCGAGGCACGCAGGCGTACGCCACATGGCTGCGACAGGCACGAGAGAAAAGGGTGGACAGATGTGAAGTGATTGGCGGTACACTGAGTCAGATAGGAATTGCGATGTTTCTCTCTCTTCTGCCCTCAGAGCAGGTGCAATGCAGGGAGGCCAAAAGATGATTGAATATAACTAGTGGGGATGTTTTGGCTTCAGCTGCACCCACAACACAGATGTGTAGCAAACCCACATTCATTTTAACATGCTGCGGTTGGCCAGATGTTAGAACAAACTCCAAAAGTGAATCCAATGCCTTCTAGTGAAAGGACGCTTTTCTGTTCAAATTAATTTAACTCCAATTAAATTCAGTGAATTCCTATACATGTAGCCTGTGTACTGCATAGATGATGTTTACCTAGTTTGAGTTGCCGTTGGCAGCTTGAATTTGTTCACAGTAGAACTTTTATATGTATTCATATGTATGATAGTTAAATAATATATGTATCCTGTCCCCATGTCTCTCTTTTCTACAGTAACAAAGACAGTGTGTGCAGAGCAGTGCGATGGCCGTTGCTTCGGTCCCTATGTTAGTGATTGCTGCCATCGTGAGTGTGCAGGTGGCTGCTATGGACCGAAGGACACAGACTGCTTTGTGAGTGAACACACACACACACACACACACACCAGCATTTACTTTATATCCAATGAAAAGGAAGAGCATGTAAATCTGTTATTGGCATGGCAACATCATAATCATATGTCTTACTCAACTCACTTACACAAATGTGTCAAAAAATGAGACAGATTCTACTTGTGACTTTTTACCACCTTTGTTTCAAGGTGGTTCTGTGAAGCAATTTCTTCTTTCTAGACTTGATTTGTATGTGAAAATACCATTTGCATTCTATATACCATTCAATTACATTTAATTTCCATTGCTTCCTGACATGAGTGCTATTGCTAAATCCCCATTTCAATTTGAACAATTCTTCAATATTAAATGTAAAAATAATTGGTGGTCATAAAATGAATGTTTGCACCCTTATGATACATTAGCAACCGTATAGTTGTTGTTATGTCGGTTTGTAAAGACTCACATCCAATATAAAAACTAAATACCTGCTCCACCACTGTGTGTGTGTGTGTGTGTGTGTGTGTGTGTGTGTGTGTGTGTGTGTGTGTGTGTGTGTGTGTTTTGTGTACAGGCCTGCATCAACTTCAATGACAGTGGGGCCTGTGTGACCCAGTGCCCCCAGCCATTTGTCTACAACCCCACCACCTTCCAACTGGAACACAACACCAGGGCCAAATACACCTATGGAGCCTTCTGTGTCAAGAAGTGTCCACGTAAGTCTCACCACCTGGACACGAACATAGTGTCCTGTTATTTTGGTCATGACCCTTTTATTATACCTTTAAATAAATAGCATTCTAATTCTTTCAAGGTCCACTTTGAATCTTAAAATCCAAAACTAACACTCACATATTGAACAATAGATAAAATGTTTATCCCAAAGTGCCTGAAAGTTTGAACCCGCTTTAAACCAAAGTTTCACCATGACATTTTTTTTCCTTATGTACTCAAGTACACTGTTCAACAGACATGCTCCTCTTACAACATTCACTGCTCAATAACTCATTTGGGTCATAGTAAGTAAAGAGAAAACTGAGGACAAGTTACTAATAATTATGCTGTCCTGTCTAAATTGAAAACAGTTGGTTAATTTAAATTAAATCCATTTCCCATTCTTAAAGACACTAAAAACCGAATGATTTCTTAATTATCTGAGAGTTATTATGACTTACCTTTCATTGAGGCATTACATTTAACAACATTTACAATAACTACACTGAATCACACTAATTAGTTCTGTCTTGAGGATTAGACAAAAGCAGATGAGCTGATATATGAAGGATGCTGTGAAGAATTGAAGATACATAGCGTGCAGACAGAAAGGCATTTGTATCTGTCATAATTACATATTACACCACAATTACATGAAGCTTTTAGCAAAGGCCATAACTATGCATACACACGGGCAAACTCCTGCTTGCATTTTCATAGGCTATTTGTCATGGACTTACACACACACACGAACACACACACATATGCATACAGAATGTACACATTACCGCTCCCAGTGCTCTGCTTTAACGTGCAAAGTACTGTCGTGACCAAGAAAAACAATTAGATACTAAGGGAGCTTGAATTGCATTTACTGCTTTAGCTTCTCATAACCCTCTCATTACTACCTGTGGATCATTTTGCAGGGCAAATATTGCTACTATAAACACAATTTGTCTTTTGTTTCCCTAAGACATTCATGTTTGTGTGAGTGTGTATGTCTGTATTGCCTCCTCTGTGAGGACCTATTTGAGTTTTGGATTTTACCAAGTGAGGACACTGCTGCTGATTTTTAAAAGGCTGTTTTAAGGTTTGGGTGGATTTAGGTTGGTTGAAGCTGAGGTTATAGGTTATGGGTTTTTAAAAGGATCAAGTTAGGGTGCAAGTTTGGTCCAGTCGTTGTTAGGAGCACTGTTTTTCAGATGGATGAAGTAAAATGCACACTACTTCTCTCTTGTACAAACGTACATACAGAGCCTGACTCTGCATGAAGTATACTTGGAATATGTTTGCTGACATAAATTGCATTGTAGCATTGAAACTTGAATATCAATAATAATTCTCATCAATTGCAATATAGAAAAGGTTCAGTTTATAACGATGTAGTGTTTATACATTGTACAAACACAGTGAGGAGGAATAATCAATCGCAATGAATGTTTTGCTGTTTATCAAGTGTTTGTCATTAAGAGCAGTTTAAAAACACTACCTAAAATTTGCAATTATTCATTAAAAAGCTGTGAAACTATACAGATGCGTTTCAAATGTGATGTATTTTGCCTCTAACTCTGTTGTGTGTGCAGGGTCTGCTGCTGGGCCCAAATCAGTGAGAAGAATTCTTCTGAACACTGCAGCTGTAATCACAATGAAAAATCTGATATATCCTCCTATGGACACATACATTTAAATGGCAACAATAATGCATTACTAGCAACACTTATTTAGCTCTGTATAATTAGAACAATTCAAGTCACAAGTAGTAAAAGCTTCTTCCCTGACACACAGTTGTAATTAACAGTCAAAATATCTTTGAACACAACATTCTAACCTTTATAGTATTACTGTCAAATTAACTGTGATATCTTGGCTGTAGAATAACACAAACCACGATGGCATATGAGACGACTGGCAGCCTCTTTCACACAGGTATTATCTTTAGAGCTGGAATTTCTGCAAATTACTATAAAGGTCAAGTTTCCCTTAAATCCTTCTCCTTCATGTGACAAAGAGGATGTTGCTTCTGGCCTTAGAGAAGAGGCTCCCTGTATCAGAGGCGATTATTCTGACAGTTTTATCTCCTTCCTTAGCTATAAGCTATAAGCTTTAACTCTGTTTGTGCTGATAAAGGAATGCACTATTCACACATGCCTTTTTGATTTATATTTCTATACTATTAGCAGAAAGCCTCATAGTTTGGTTTTCATTGGAGTGGTCACATTATCTTCTGTTGCTCGCTATAGTTCATTTTTCTGAAACGCCTCTATAGTAATTACACACTTGTTTTGCAGAGAATAAACACAAAAGAAACACAGTGTCAGGGGCTTTATTACAATCCACCTTATTTGGAGCACAATTCCTCCTGCTGTGGAACCAGTTATCTACTTATCTACAGATTAACTGTGTATGATTTGTGATAATTAGAAACAATTTTGTAACAATTCCTCTGTCCACCATGGCTGAGGCACCTTTTCGGGTCAGATCGGTCAGTGGGCGGGTCAGGTCAGCGAATGCAGGGATATTTCGCCTGTAGTAACCCGCCAGCCACAAGAACCGCCTCACCTCTTTTTTGGATTTGGGCCTGGCCTGCAGTTTTATCCACCTGAGGGCGCACCGCCCAAGTGGTACCCCAGATACCGTACCTCCCTCCGTCCAACTGTACACTTCTTCAGGTTGGCCGTGAGCCCAGCCTCTGGTGACAGGGGAATCTGCCAGTAATAGGTTAAATCCAGCTTGGTAAAAAAATGTGCAGTGCCTAGCTGATCCAGGAGCTCGTCGACCGGGGGCTTTGGATTTGCGTCAAACCATGAAACATTATTTACCTTAGTCCGTGCAGAACCTTAAAGATCCATCCTTCTTTGTTACAAGAACAATGGGGCTACACCATGCGCGGTTGGACTCTTCTATTACCCCCATCCCGAGCATAGTCTCTAATTCTTTCTGAACGTTTTTTGTTTGTGTTCAGGAAGCCGATAGAGTCATGAACGTACAGTCACCCCGGGGGAAGTCTCAACGTAATGTTCTATAAGTTTTGTGCGTCCTGGCAAGGGGAGAACACGTCTGCAAATCGCTGCTGCAACAGGACGATCTCCGATCTCTGGGCTGGGGAGAGATAGTCACTCACCGGCGAAACCAGAAAAATGTGCTCTGCCTCTCTCCATGCTTTCAGGAGGTTGAGGTGATATATTTGTATAGCCCCACCCCTGTCAGACCGCACAACTTCAGAGTCAACATCCCCCACTTGCCGTGTGACAACGAAGGGTCCTTGCCACTTGGTGAGTAATTTTAAAGCCTCACTGCCCACTCCTCCGGCGGCCAGCCACACGCCTCCGCTGTCACCTCGAACATGTCCATGAACGACTGCGGCTCGTCCACCTCTGCCATCTTATGTAGGGTGATGCCAGCCAACGGTGAGCAGACCGACAAGGGCCTAAAGTCTGAAAAACCAGATTTGGAAAATGCTCTGCTTTTTTGATAATGTGTACCAAGTGAATATGAGGCGAGGAGTTGTTGAAAGTGCAGCCTGTCAGGCTAAAATAGTAGAAGAATAAATAAAAACTGCCTTCACAGTCAGTCTTGACAGTGGAGTCTTCAAAAGGGGTCATGAAGTGAGTCACACTATCAATGCTAGTTTTTAGCTGAAGGGCACAGAGAATAACTGGATTTCTATCATGGGAGATTGAGACAATATCCCCTCTGTGTGATCAATACAAACAATTACAAACTGCTCCATGTGTGCTTTGGATGAGGGGCAAGACAGAGCTAAGAATAGATCCACGTCGTCCAGAGTCAGAGGGGTCAAACCACCAAAGCAAAGAATGAATGATAATAAAGCTGGTGCAGTGAGACTGATGGAAGAGATCCTTATTATGGGCTTCCCACACTTGACTAAGATGCAGGGATTTGATGGGATTCATACTAGGAACACTGATATTCAGCACAGACAGCAGGTGTAACTCAGCATTCACATCACTGACGTTATGATTTATGAATTCTGTCTTCATCATCATGGTGACATATTTCTGTCAGGTTGTCACTACTGTGGTTTTCTGCTCTGCACTTAATATAAATCACTTGATGACCCCTGCATACATCTCTGTGGATTACTTTTACCTTTGTCTTTACCTCATGTCAGACCTCAGACTAATTTCTCATAGATATTAGATAATTCATGTAATATGTTGTTCCTCTTGCAAGACCTGTGTGATATTGAATGTCAGACCTACATTACATTTAGAATTAACAGGACATATCAGTGTGTAGAGTTTCTCAACTTTGAGGACAAGACCCCACTTGAGGTCACCTGATATGCAGTTGGTTTATAAGAGTCACAGCTTTGAAAATAGGGTACAAAAGTTTGCCATAGTAAAACTCTCGTGTCAACTTGAAAACTCATTAATTGCTGTGCATTAGAATGTTTTGAACTTGGTAAAGGGGTCAGAAAAGGTTATTAGCTCGCCTGTAATACACACAAGTTTGAAAACATGCACACTGTATGTGGGACCACACAACACACACACATGCTAAAAGTCACCCTCACACAAAGACAGAGAAGCAGACACTCGCTGTCCCTGATCACAGGGAGTCCATGCAGACCTAAAAATGGCACATTGTGGTTACACTCCGAGTTGGCTATCAACACACTGTCTGCTGCTGAACAGACGTCTGCTGCCTGACCTTATTGGGCTGCTCTGATGTACACAGAAAAGGCCTTTGGAGATTGATTAGTGGTTTGAGCAATCTGGCTGGTCAGCCATCCACAGCTTACAAATGAGTTGTACAGGAAGTCACTTACTTGTTTTCCCAGCTGTTTATTTTTTAACCAAACAAAGACTATTCTCACAAGTTAATTTTTTCAGTTATAATAGGCTTGATTAACATGTTAACAACCATTCACTTCACACAGATATATTAAGTGTTACATAAGGTGAAGTGCCTGTTGATCTCAGAGGTGTTGCTGCCAGTTCCACCATTTCCTGAGCTGCAGGAAACATTTTTTAGAAAACTCTTTTCTTATCAGAATCTGTCATCATTTATATTTTTAAGTTTTAGAAGGAAACATGAATACATATGTGGAGGTGGCTCAGTGAGCACTCACTAGGTGAACCAGGGAGAGGTGATTGGCACATCTGAGACTAGTTGGCCAATCAACTCTCCCTGGATTCAAAAGGCAGCAGCTGAGCTGCCAGAGCGAGACACTTGGGAGAGAGACACAGGAGACGCACAAGAATGAGCAAAATTCATGAAGGAGAGACAGAAAGACACAGATACATGAGAGGCGACGCACATTAGAGACACTAAGAGAATCCAGGGAGAGTTAGATTGATAAATAGATAGATAGATAGATAGATGAACTTTATTGATCCCAGCTGGAAAATTGTTGTGTCACAGCAGCAGTTCAATAAGACACAAAAGACAAGGTGCAAAATTGCAGTGTTTGACACGGGTATGAATATAATATGAACAAAATAAATAAATAATTGATAGTTATTGCAGCAGTAATTACAAATAAGTACTATCAGAGGTGGGAATTGTACAGTCTTATTGCTGTGGGCAGGAAAGACTTCCTGTATCTGTCCTTTGCGGCAGCCGAGCTGAACCAGTCTGTTGGAGAAAGTGCTCCACTGTCTGTCCACCAGGTGGTGGAGAGGGTGCTCTTGATTGTCCATGATGGATAAGCTACATACAGCTTATTCGGCGACCTCCTCTCCACCACTTCAAAAGTGTCCGGTTTGCAGCCAATGACTGAGCCAGCCTTCTTCTCTCTGTTGGTGTCACTGGCTCCAATGCTGCTCCCCCAGCAGACCACAGCAAAATACAGAACACTGGCTACAACAGACTGATTTCCAACAACTTGCTGCACACGTCGAAAGATCTCAGCTTCTTCAGAAAATAGAGTCTGCTAATGATGTGTACAGTGTGAAGAGGAAGGGCGTGGGGGGGGGGGGGGGGGGGGGCAGAAGCTTATGAAGCAGTCAGGGTGTGTGGGAGTCTGGGAGTGTGGTGGGGAGGACAAAGGAGGGCTGTGAACCCAGTAATTTCCCTCATTCCAGACCACACATCCCTCACATTGTTCTGCTGGAGTTTGGCCTCCAGTTTCCTCCTGTAGGAGTCTTTGCACTCCCTCAGCTTGAAGCAGTCCTGCAGTGCCTCAGTGGCCTCCTGAGTCCACCTCCTCACATTCCTTTTGGATGCAGGCTGTCGCTGGACAAGAGGTACATATTTTGGTGTCAGCAATACCAGGTTGTGGTCTGATCTGCCAAG